TCAATATTATCAATACGATCGAAATAAGAAAAAAATTACGTCGCATCAATGAATTTTGCACAAAAGACAATCTCGATCCCATGCCGATGTTCGAATAATCTTGAGAAGCCAAAACATATGAAGGCATTTCGTACGTACGCGTTATATATTATGTGTATCTGTGGACTCCTACAAATATATGTATATAATATATATAGCCGTTAGGACTATATCCGTATACATACGCATCTTTTCTATATGTAAATCAGGCTGGGACTGTTAAATTTTTTTTTCATGCACTGTCAAATCTCTCTTTTTTGTTTAAATATTTTTTTTTGCAAAATTCACTGTCTCCCGGAGCCCCAAGAGCATGCCGCTACAGACCACGCGACGCAGTGAAAAAGATTTTTTTTTAATTGTACTTTGAGCTACGGTACGGACTGACACTGCAATTTCGGATTTTCCAGTTTTTTTTCTCTCTCCTCAATATGAGGCTTATCGGTGTCCTCATACGCGTTTCAATAGAGACAGCCACATACCGAAACGCCCCTCTCCTCTAATTAGGTGTATACATTCTTCGTGTGTTCCGTGTAACTATAGCCGTATAATATGTATCGACAATAATATGCAAACGCAGTGGTAAATTGTTAAACAATTCTCCGTTTCATTTATCAGTGTATAATGTGTATCATGTTTTTTATGTAACGCATATGTTCCATGTGTACATTATTACGTGTAATGTGTTTCGTAGTGTGCAAGTGCATATATATATATATAATATGTATATATATGTATCTTTTTTATTTTTTCCCTCATCTCTTTCTTTCAATCGCACGACCCATAGCTATCTTCTTTAGTACATTCGTATCGCTTGGTACTTTCGCAACGATTTGCGACACCAAACTAAGTCAATTTTAGTGAATTCGATATTTCTTTCGATCGCCATGGAAAATCCGAGCCTCACTCGTTAATTGCGTGCTCCATGTAGAAAGATAGCCATAGGACAGTTTAGAGGGCTACAGGCAAAGCTTAGACATAGCGGACCCTGGAAAGATTGACAGTCAATTCTAAAATTCGCGAAAAGCTGCGTTAAAAGATCTTTTTTTTTAATCATGATAGGGTAACACTGTCGTGTTAGACAATATTCAGAGAAAGAGAGCAAAGACACAAGGTAGGGCATTGTTGGACAAGTAGCAAGTTAAGGTCATTGACTCCAGATAATGGAAATGGGTATGGCTATTGAAAAATTAGCATGTGACATGATCGAGATAGATGGCGCCATCGTAGACGCATGGAAAAGACAATTATACAAAGGAAAATTAACACTTGACAAGGCAGTATACGTGAGGCGTAAGGTAAATAGATTTGATTTTTTGTTTAAGAGATTGGAGATATTTTTTTTGTATGAAAATAGAGGGCACCCTCAATGGACAAATGTTAAACTCAAAGTTATTCCTTGGAGAATGGAAAGATTTATCGACAAGTACCACGATTTGAATATGTGTATTAGTACGCAATTCTCATAAACTGTACGATAATCTAAATAGTAGAGCCGATTGTGTGATCGAAGATAATCTATCGTACATAGAGTTTCGTAATTAGAGACTTTAGAGTGGTACGAGGTCACGTGACGTCTCTCCTCATAAACGTACAAAGAAAATAACAAACCAAACGAATGTACAAATAATTCGATCACGCGCCGGTAACCGTCGTGACGCTCCCCCCCCCCCC